TGGCCATGCCGGACGGCGGCCTGATCACCCCAGTGCTCAAGAACGCGGACTCGACCGACATCTACCAGCTGTCCAGGTGGGGAGGAAGGGGTGGGCCATGGGCGCATGGGCAGAGGCAAGGCGGCCGGGAAAGTAGCAACAGCAAAATGTCGGCGGCGGCGGCGGCGGGGTTCATCCTCTTAAAGATGAACCGAGCTTGGGGGCGGGGCGGGGCGGGCGTCTGGAACAGCTGTGCATGGTCAACCCAACCGTTCAGGCGTCTCTTTGACCCCATGAAGTGGATGAACTAAATGGCATGGTGTATATATGGTAGGCTTTCAAGAAGACGCTAATCCGCCTGGCGAGACTCGTCCCTACGGAAGCGTCCAAGCCCGCATTTATCCCGTACTCGCCCGTTGTACTCGAGAAGTAAATGTCCCCGTATTCATTTTTCTTGACCTCTTCAGGAACTGGGCTGATCTTGTGAAGCGCGCTCGCTCCAAGCAGCTGCAGCCCGACGAGTACAACAGCGGTACCTTCACCATTTCCAACCTCGGCATGTACGGCGTCGAGACGTTCGACGCTATCCTGCCACCAGGTGGGCGGGTACTCCCTCAGGCTGCCTGTGGGGCGTACCAGCGCGTGTGCGTGGTCACTTCGGTCGCTGTTCTGGATGATGTCCGGTGCCCTTTCTCGGGGTCGTGGCTCCCCTGCCTTCGCTGCCCCGGGCCGATCCAATTACTCGTAGGGGCCGGGTGGGATGCGATGGCGGGAGGGAAGACGGGTGGTGCAGTCTGTGCGGTTGGTGGGTACATGGTGTGTCAGGGTTGCCAGTGCGTCGTCTGTTCGTCTTTGGTATGGCCCCATGACCGCTGCGCCAAGCGCTGCTGGCGACATTGCCTAAAATAGCGCGCATACAGCAGGTTTGTTAATGGAGGCAATATATGTCCGCAATGTATGTCTGGCGTTCCGATACCACTACTTTCGACACGTGGGCACAAGTGCTGCTGTGGTTTAATAATACCTGCAGATATTATCTAGAATGAATATCTAAAAATGACCCGTTGCGTCACGTGTTGTTTGCGTCCCGGGCAGGCACTGCCGCTATTCTGGCGGTGGGCGGCTCCAAGCCCACCGTGGTGGCCACCGCTGACGGCATGATCGGCGTCAAGAAGGTCATGAACGTCAACATCACCGCCGACCACCGCATCGTCTACGGAGCTGACGCCGCGGAGTTCCTGCAGACGCTCAAGGCGGTCATTGAGAGCCCCGAGCAGCTTACCATGTAAGGAGCAGAAGCTGCTGTCTGAGAGCCGAAGCCTTACTCTGTTTCTTCCCCCTCCTCCTGGGAGCCCTTGAGGAGGTCCTTGTGGGTTGCCACAGTGCAGCAGCGCGGCCTGTCGCGTTGGATGTCAGTGGTGACAGCGCTGGCAGAGAGCTTGCTACTGCGCCGGCGGTAGTCCGCAGCGGTTGGCAGTGTGGTGTCAGTGTGGCGGCCTCTCACCTCGACCGCCCACGGCCAGATCTGCTGCTGCGCAACCGTCTGCCGTCTTCCCTACCTTGCGGCTGCTTCGGTTAAGAAAGGTGCGGCGCACCTTCGGCGCCAGCAGGCCAGGACGAAGTGATATCATCCTTTGATACCCCGGACGTATGCTGTGTGCCTGTAGTGCTGGCTGGCTGGCCGGAGAGGGACAAAAAAGGAATTGGGGTCTAGAGAGGTGCACTGATTCGTGCTTCTTGCGTGGCTATTTATCCATGTGTTTGTGTGTTGCTAACGTTGATTCAGTTTTGCTGAAGGTTCCAGTCGGATGGAAGAGTTAAAGCTTGGGGGAAAGGGCATGGGCCAAGAAGTCGGGCTGCGAATATGGCCGTGACCGGTCGGCATGTAGACGCTGCGAGTGAAGCCCGATGTCTTGAGGAGGAAAACAGCAGTGCAAGTAAAGTTCGCGGGAGGATATCTCCTTCAAGGGCCTGGGTTCAGAAGAATTTGAATGTGTTCGGGTTTAAATGTGTTCGGGTTTGGATGCAGTCGGCGCACCACAGGCAGGGGCGAGGCGTGAGTCTCTCTGTACGTATCGGTGTGGGTCCAGTCGCCGGGGATGTTGTTGGAGCATCTCTCGTTATCGACATGTGGAAAAAGGGTTGGGTTCAGGAATTCTCGACTGGAATGGTATGATTCTTGTCAAGGTGCGAAGCTCGAGCATGTCGATTGTGAACTGCTTTGGAGCGGCGATTTTGACACGGGCAGGCATATTTTTCCTTTTCAGGTCGTTTCGGCCTCTTTAGGCATGGCGAATCCCGGAAGTCCTCCATTGCTGAATTAAGTAGACATAGCTCGAATCGGCAACCACGTAGCACGTGTAACTATGTGCTGTTCCAGGCAAGATCGCCAAAAACTCTTAACATTCACACACATTTCACCAAACCAAACACCACCTCTTCCAAAGCGCATTGTACGTGACATGTTACAAACTAACGCTATAACCGCCACAAGAATAGCAACGTCACCACCAAAAGCGTTTAAGCTTGACATAGCCAATCATCCAATAGCCTGCAGCCAATCCAAGTCAAATGACCGGTCTGTCCATACCATCCAACTGCAGTATCTGGGAATACTGTCCCAAATGCCCCCCCATCAGCCGCATCCGCATAGGCCGTCAGGTCAGCCTGCAGAGTTTTGTGCCCATTGAAATATCCGATCCCGTCCCAACCCAGCGGGGCTCGTGACCACGACCGTGGAGTGCTAACAACAGCGGCAGGTCGCGGCCATGCCATCGCCACGTCCTCATTTCCCTTTCGCATGCTGCTGCCCGTCCACCCCGTACTTGTCCTGCATCTTACGTAGTTGCTCCTCCTGCTCCTTGGTGCTAATCTGTGTGAGCCAAGGTGGAAACCAACGGTGATGGTTTCATTATTATTATGTCACACTACCCAGTGCTGTGAAAGTCACCACCAGTCTTTCGCGAAGCTTGGAGGACGATGCTGAAGTGGGTATATAGGATCTTTGCGCCGTGAACGTCAACGGAAACGGTTGTAGGCAAAAAGGTGGTGTGTTCATCAAGGATGCGAACATCCTCTGCCGCTGCTTTTGGGTGGCAAACTGCCAACAGAAAGCTGGACACTCAAAAGACAGAACGGAGAAATATTAAGCACAAAGGGTTTGCGACAAGGCACTTATTTCTACAAAGGGAAAGGTGCTCCTGTTGCGTCGTCGTCATGAATTGGAGCACGGAGCACACCAATTCAGGGGCTTCCCTTGGGGGGTCTACGTGGGGGGTCTACGTGCTTGTACTCAGAAGCCCGCCCGTTCTCGCTACTGCCGAGGGGCCCGCCCCGTGGGTCACACTGCAATTCCCCACGCACTGCAAACCCGCGTTTACCTTCTTGCTATGCCGCACTGGATTGAAGTAAAGGACGATGAGATAGCGGTTCGCTACGTTAAAGCCTGACAGGTGGTCACACGCGTTCTTGGCGTCGTAAATATCTTCGTACACCACGTACGCTGTACCACGCGTCTCCTTCGTTGTCCCTCTGCAATCACACCCAAGGCCCTGGACATGAGACGTCTCTAAGTTGCTGTGGGGAAGCTAGCATTTGAGTACAGTACACCAACTCACATTCGGATCTGCCGAATGGGGCCGTACTTGCCGAAGATATCATACATCTCCTCAGAAGAAATGTTGAAAGGCAGATTTCTCACGAACAGAGCCCTGACGTGGTAGCGAGCAGCACTATGTCATTAGGTGCAGCGCACAGACGGGCTTCTCTCACCAGTTCGCATGCGCTTACCTGTTAACCTCAGGTGGCAGCCGTTGGTTGCGTGCACGCTGAGCAGCTGCCGCCATGGCCGCTCAGTTGCAGTGCACCAAGAGCGCCGGCTCAGGTGAAAGCTATGACCAAACACACAGCTGTGCTCACCTATCTACTTTAAAATCAGCTACTTGTAAGATCACAAAGCTTGCACAGGAAAGAGGGCTACTCGGTAGAATTAAAGCCTTGCGAAAAGGATGTGGTTGCCGGAAGCACAATTCCAGTTGTTAGTATTTAGAAGGATTGTAATACAGGACATCGCGAAGGCTGACGAACGTGGATTCAGTGCGTTCGGTTAGAAACAGACAGAGGACGGTTTCTGTCCAGCGTTGTACGGAACTGTCCTCCCTGGGCTCCAAAATTTACCCTCTGACAGGTGTAGTTCTGGTGCTACTTGTACGTTTTTAATCTCAAGGAAGGCATGGTCAAGGGCCCAGACCAATTACCCAGTAATGTGTGAATGTTCAGCAGTGACTTAAACATTTCGTTTCTGGACAACGATAGTGGAAGATATATCTATATATCCCATTAGTAACCGTTCTCCATACGGGTGTAACCTAACGTATAAGCGCTGCTCAGCTTATCGCTTGCTCAAGCACCTCGGGGCAACACCGTGGACAGTCCTCAAGGCACCGATGCAAATTTGCTATGCAGTCGAAGCTATCCGGAAGGGCCAACCCTTGGCGTAGCAACCGCCCGGGTTGCCCCCGCGGAACCGCGCCCGCGGGGCTTACACCCTCACCTTCAACGTGAACTTGCGCTCCCCCCTCCGAAAACAACTACGCTACCATGTCCGGAGTGATTCCAACGGTCCTAAGTCCTGCGCGGGTATCTCAGGCACTCGCGTCCGCGGGCCCGCCAGCTGGCAGCGGCGGCCTTCGCATCAGCAGCACTGACCCGCTGGCTCCTGGCAACGGCATCGAAACCCAGCCCCGACTCAGCGGCAGCCGACCGAAATCAACCTCCCCATCACGCGCCATAGCCATGGCCTTCCCCTCTACTACTACGTGCATACCCGGCAGCCCTTTTAGCGCTGACGCCTCCCCTATCCCCATGGCTCCGTCCCCAGCTGACGGCGGCGGTGGCACCACCGCTGGCGACAGAGGTAGCGGCTCCGGAACCGGCGAGCCCAGCTCAACTGCCACCTCCGCCCGCAGCCTCAATGGTCGCCAACGGCTGCCAGCGAGCAAGTCTTTCCGCGGCAACCGTCCAGATTCCCCTAAGGCTAACGGCGGGAGGGTCCAGCTCGCGGCAGAAAGCTCCGCCAACTCTCTATCCACAGCCCATGTCGGCGGAAATGGTAATGGCGGAGGCGGAGGCGGCGTGTCTAGCCCGGGCCAGCGAGCCACGTACATGTCCAGCGTCCTTTCCGCACGCGGCAGCCGCGGCGGCCTGGGCCGTGATCGCAGCTACGCCGGCAGCGCTTCCAGCGCCACAGGAGGTTTGCGGCTCAACCAAAGCAGCATGAGTGGCGGCTATACGGGAGGGCTGGAGTCCCTAGGCGGGCTGGGAGGCCGCGGAGGGCCTGCCGTTGGCTTGCAGCCCGCACCGGGCACTGTCGGCGGCATTGACGTGTCACGCCTGGCGGCAATCCAACGGCTGCTTGACGAGTACGACAGTGATGAGGCTGCTGACGTCACGTCGCCTCGCCCCGAAGGGTCGTCGTACAGGCGCCGCAGCGACTCGCACAGCGGCGAGGGCGGTGTACGTCACCGCGGGTCTGACTCCGACTCCGGCACGGGTTCCGCCTCAGGTTTGCGGTCGCTGGTGTCTTTGCGGTCGCGGAAGGACATGCAGAACTGGCAGCCGGTGCGTGAGGGGGGAATGGAGGGGGTGGTAAGTGAATCCTTGGCTTCACAGCCACTCTACCGGAGTAGCGCTACCGGAAGGGGGGTCCATGACACAGAGCCTGGCAGTGAGTGCCTGCGCCCGGTGGCGTGTCTCCCTCGGGGTTCCCCCCGGTCTTTGTTCCAACCTGGCGCCCCGTCCTCCTTCCCTCCCTCACCCCTGGCGCCCCGTCCTCCTTCCCTCCCTCACCCTCTGTCCCGCGCCCCGCCCTCCTTCCCTCCCTCACCCTCTGTCCCGCGCCCCGCCCTCCTTCCCTCCCTCACCCTCTGTTCCGCGCCCCGTCCTCCTTCCCTCCCTCACCCTCTGTCCCGCGCCCCGCCCTCCTTCCCTCCCTCACCCTCTGTCCCGCGCCCCGCCCTCCCTTTGCTTTCACGTCCTGCCTGGTTGCGTCCTCCTCTCCAAACCTCGCGTCGTCTCTTAATCCCCAATCCCCCAACAGACCGTGTCCGCGATGAAAGGCAGTCTGGAGGAGCACCAGCAGCGGTTGAGGGAGCGGGCAGATGTGACGCAGCACCTGAAGAGGTGGACGGAGCAGGTGCTGGAGGACGCGAAAAGGTGGGGCCAAGAGGCGAAACGGGCAGGGACAGGGGCAGGGACAGGGGCAGGGACAGGGGCAGGGACAGGACGCTGCTGCTGTGGCTGGGGGCAGCAATTACGGCAGCACCTCGTCAGAGCCGCCATGCCGGGTCCCCCAGGCCCACCAACCCCACAACCAGCTGAAAACACACCCAGCCCACATCCCGTTCCTTCCCCCTGCTTGGTGCCCTGCACGTCGACAGCTGGAAGGATTTTCTGCGCTTTGCATGTCACTCTCCATACCGTATGACTCCATACCCCCTCCCTCTTGACTTTGCAAATTGCACTCGCAGGGCCGCGGCGGGCGGGACCTCCAGCCGCGCCAGCGACATTGTACGAGCCGCGTCAGTGAGGTTTAAGGGCGTGGACGAGGACCACCCCGAGTCCTCCTCCCCTTCCTCGCCTTCCCCGACCCCGGGGGTTGGACGAGCACCCCTGGAGCTTGAATTTGTGGATCCTGATCAGGAGCTGGATGACGAGGAGGAGAGGCGGATGGAGGCGCTGATGGCGCTGCCGCCCAACCCCCGCGGCCTGGGGGCGCAGCTGCGGACGCACTTCATGAACGTGGTGGAGGATGAGGTCAACAAGAAGATCGATGCGGTGCGTGGTTGGACGGGTGAGGGAAGACGAACCACAGACGAGTGATGATGATGCTGATGCCAGAATATAATAGAGACGGGAATTACGCCAGGAATAGACAGATGAATACTGCAGGAAGTTGTCCGAAGTTACCATGGATGAATGGATGGATGAATGGGTATTGATAGGTGGGGGTTTGGGGGCGTGTCTCCCCCCTTTCGGCCACCATGGCATGGTTGGGTGGCCGCGGTGTGGGCTATTTATTGGCGGGCGCAGGCGGGCGGGGTTGGATGAGGGGGGATGGGTGACTGGTGCGATGGTGCGATGGGAAATCGAGCGGTCAGCCAGGAGGGTAGGAGGATAAGATTTAGGTGTTGGGGGCGTGCGTGTGGGGACGAGAGTATACCCCGGGCGGGAAACAAGCTTTCTACCGCTCATTCTCCGACTCGATTCACCCACAACGCTGAGCACGATATACGCACTGATCCACACACATACATAACCCAATGACCCGTGGGTCGCAGCTCCGTGCCAAGTGGGAAGCCGAGAAGTGTCACGAGGCGGAGGAGCTCCGGGAGCTGAAGGAGAGCTACCGGGAGGTGCGGCGTCACTACGTGGAGACCAAGGAGGCGCTAGATAAGGCCAACACGCGACTGGATGTCATGAAGCTGCAGGTAGAGTTTGGCGGGGAGTTTGGGAGTCCCATTGGTAGGGGAACGAGTGGGTTCGTGCGCGGTGGGTGGGTAGGTGGGTGGGTGGGTTGTGTCGCTGTGGGGCTGCTGGGCTTTTGGGGATGTTGGCCAAAGGAAAGGAAAGGCGTCCTCGCGGCCCAGGCTGCTTGAGTTGGTTTGCAAGGGGCTGAGCCACCATACGCACATCTACTTCGCTGCAGATGAAAGCTACGGCGGCATTAAATAAGGTCTCCAAAGATGCAACAGCGGCAGCCGCGACGGCCGCCGCCGCTGCGCCTGACGGCGACGGCGCCGCCACCGCTGCTACGGCGGCCCCCGCCACCAAGGGCGGCCGCGGGTCGCGGGTCAGCACCCACGACGGCAGTGAAGGCAAGACCGGCGGCAAGGGCGGCAAGGGTGGCGTCGGAGTCGGAAATGCCATCTCATCCGCCGAGAACGGCGCCGTAACATCGGCGTTGGCGCCCGGCGCCGCCGGCGGGCATGACGACGACCTGCACGACAAGCTGAAGAGCATTGGTAGCCGCCGCCCCACATCCCCCACCGGTGACGGCGACGCGGCCCAAGCCGCCAGTGCGGAGCTGCAGCAGCAGCTGCGGGCGCATGTGGACGCGGCGATGAACCTCAATCGCAAGTAAGACTGCGCCTGTTATCCATCGTCGAGTTCGCTATTAACGAGGTGCAGATTCAAGTACAGCAGCAAATCGCTCAATCTCAGCTTTCCTTTCCCCACCTCCTTTAGATTCAGTTCCTACGTCAAATGGAATGTTCGGCTAAGGAAGTCTAAGCATGTTTCCTTAGCCGTCTAAGGAAACCCTAGAAGCTTTTTTGTAGCGAAAGTAAGTACAACGCGCATCTACAGCCCGGTGAATGAGAGTCACCAAGTGCCATCAAGTCCCCCCCCCCATGGGGCTGCCGATGACGACGGCAATAAGAAGGACGAGGGGGAAATCTACAGCCCGCTGTTTTAGGTGCACCTTAACAGTGGTGCTGCATTTGGCATAGGTCAGGACTGTAAGAAACCCTCGTTGGAGGATTTCCTGTGTCTTTTCCCCTACGCGCAACCCCACGTTGTGTCTGTCAGCTTTCCACACGTCCCACGCACCGTCTGTTACCCCGCAGGCTTCAAGACGCGGAGCAGCAGCTGGCCAAGCTCAAACTGGATAAGACATTGCTGGAGCAGCAGCTGGCGGCGGCAGGGACTCGAGGCGGCGGCGCCGGTGAGCCCGGCGCTGCTGCTGCCGCCAGCGGCGGTGGTAAGTACGACGCCGACGTCCAGATCTTCAAGCTTAAGCAGGAGAAGGCCTCCCTGGAGCAGCAACTGGCGGCGACTAAGTCCAAATCGTCCTCTAAGGGCGGCAAGAGCGGCGGCGGCGCCGCCGCCAAGGGCGGCGGCAGCTCCTTCCGCGCCGGTGGCAAGGCCGGCAGCGGCGGCGCCGCTGCAGCAAAGGTGGCGGAGCTGACGGAGGACGTGGAGCGGCTTCAGATTGAGCTGGCGGCGTCGAAGCGGGTGGCGGCGAACAGCTCGAAGGAGGCAACGGATCGCCGGATGGAGCTGCAGAAGGTGTGGGGAGCGCGGGAAGCGCGAAATGGGAGGCAGCGGCGGCCGCGGCGAGAGTGTTTGCCCACCTTGTAATTGACGCAAGGGGCCGTACCTTGCCGTACCTTGCCGTACCTTGCCCTGCCACCCTAACACGGCCATCCCAGCCATACCACACTCCACCATTACCACCACCACCACCACCACCATCACCACCACCACCACCAGGACCTCGCGGCATCTTTCTTTCCGCCTCCCGAACCGCCACGTCGTGATCCATATCATACAGTCATCCATTGTGCGAGCAATCACATCGTCTCGTGCACTAAGTCGACTTACGCCATTTTCCCTGGATTCCTGTACACTTGCGCAGGCCAAGGACGACCTCTCGGCCACGAAGGCCATGCTGGACATGGCGATGCAGCAGATTGAGAGCGTCAAGGAAGCCCTGGCAGGGGAGAAGGAGCGTGCTGACCGCGCCGTCGCAGCGGCGGTGGCGGCGGAAGAGGCGCAGGCGGCGGCGCAGGCTAGCGCTGCAGCCGCCAACTCAGCTGCGGCAGCGGCGCTCGTCAAACGGTCCGCCGCCACCGGCGAGGTCCAGGAGCTTCTAGAAAGATTGGAGAAGTGCGTCCCCCCGGGGGGTTCCGGCGTGAGACAATGTCTGAACCACATGGGGGGCCCCTGCCTAATTGTTGCATCACACGTCTTTTTCAGGAAAGAACCGATCGGCGGATGTCAGATCTCGTGTTGATACCCGGGATACCACACTCAGTCACCCCCAGTCCGCGTCAGTCTTTCCTTGGCATCAGCTTCACTCGCTCGTGGTTCGTCTTTTTCCCGCCCTCAGTCCCCTAAGTCCCTCTCAGTCCCTGTACCCGTAGGTTGCCTGCTGGGCCCGGTGCCGCCCCTCCACCAACAGCAGCTAGCGTGCTTGTGCAGTGGCCTACCCCGCATGTCCTTGGCATTAGGACAGCCCGGCGGGGCTTCGAACGGATGACTTGCTGTGTTTTTTGCTTTGGCGTTTTCCGCGTGTGTGCGTGTATTTATGTGTGTATCCTCACCCTGATGGTGCGGCTAGCTGCTGCTTTGGCAGTTCTGTGTGTGTGTACATGCTTCACGGCTGCGAGGTGTTCTCCAATAGGGCATAGCCGCTCTTGCGCTGCAACTCCGGCTCATGCCCGTCCTTGCTTGTGTGCGTATGTGCTCGTACTGATGTTTTTATTGCTTTTCAATTCTTGGTATCGCTTCAATTCTTGGTTTTCGAAGGGAACGCGACGTGGCGCTGACGGCCGCTGGTGAGCTACGGCAGCAAGCCCGCGACCTATCCAACTCGCTTTCGGAGCGAGCGGATGAGGTGATGCAACTGCGCGAACAGCTGATGCAGCGCCAAATGGAGAGCAGCACGGCGCCGGAGGCGGCGCCGCCAGAGCAAGCCGCGGCGGCGGCGGCGGCGCCGCAGCCGCCGATTTCGCCGGCGGCGGGGTCCAATGGTGTTGGCGGGCCGCACATCCATTCCAAGGTGACGGCGGCGGCGGTGGCGGCGATGCAGAGTCTTGGCGTATCGCTGCGTCAAGTGCCGGTAGTGGCGCGGCGGCGGCCCACCAGCGCCGTGGGCCCCAGCGGCGCCGCCAGTGTCGGACTTGACAGCGCTGTTGGCGTGGCAGCGGCGGCGGCCGCGGCGGCGGCGCTTATTCCGGCGGTGCTGGAAGTGCTGCGGCAACGTATTCCAGAAATGGTGATGGCGCTGGAAGGTGAGCTGGAGGCAGGATCCACGACGGCGGCGGCCAAGGAGGCGGCGAAGGCGGAAATCGACGCCGCCAGTGGTGGTGCGGCGTCCGCTAACGCCGCCGCAGCAGCGGCCGCGGC